TCTTTGAGAAACTCTCTATTTTGACTGGCTCTTGGGCCTTGCATAAGTAAAAGATAAAATCAAACGAGATTTTTTATTAAGTGCCTTAAAATGAGGACATATGTGACAGTTTCTTCTAATCACAATAGGAAATTTAAGTATAACTGTCACCTAATCACAACTTAATTTAATTTGAATTTAATCTTTTCTCAATCAATTTCTTATTCTTTTCAAAGTTGTATTTTCTTCCTGCAAAATCTACGCTGTCCTACTGGCACGTGCGGTCACAAAACTCTACGAAAACTATCCTCTACCTCGCTACTGCTCGAAATATATCAGTATCTCCTTCTTGATATGCCTGTAATAACTGCTTTTCCCCATGTCTTCTGCAACCTCCTCGTACATGTTCGAAAAATATGCAATATTACAGCTGACCATTGTTCACTGCAAGCCACTTGGGTTTATTTAGACGTTTCATCGTTTGATATGGTCATAATTAAGCTGGATGACAGCTGGTTTGTACTGCAGCCCCACGTTGCCATTTTGACGATCCCAAATTTTCATCTGTTGTTTGTCACACCCTGTTGTCGTTGTCAAGGAAACTGATGTAACTGTTATCATTTTGACTATTGCATTCTGCTTGAGACCTCTCCGTTACACAATGATATATAAAATCAGATACACACATATTAAAAATATCGCTCATATACAGGCGTCTATATAAATATACAGCCACTTATACAAAACATAAATTAGATACACACCTATAGAAACACACACATGTACATGCTAACTTATCCTAGGATGTTGCTGGAAATTTCATTTTCCCCAAATCTACCTAAATGACAAAAAAAAAAAAAAAAAAACAGAATAAAATATTCTAATTTAATCACTGCATGTGATCTCATTCCAAACATCCGCATTCCATAATTCACACCAGTTTGAGCCACAATTTTACCTTCAAATATTTGTTTTGTTTTTTTTTTTTGTTCAATGCTGGTTTGTTAGCTGAAATGCCCCCCTCCTCAGTTTATGTTCTCAATGGATGAGCATATTTTTCTCTACTGACACTAAATTAAACATCCAACAATTGTCTTCTTTGACTCAGTTTGTGTGGTTCTTATCAGTTTTTGACTATCCTATTTTGCAGCTTTCGATGGTGATCATATCTTCATCTATACAATACACTTTGAGTGCTTTGAAACTTGAAAGGCGATTTCTGAAATACTGCTTCTTTAACTATTATTCGCTGGTTTATATTCTTTGACAATTTCTTCGTCGTGTTTTCTTTGGAAAATCTTCCATGATATCAAGCAATGAAAGAATACAGAAATTCGACGTAAGTATTATCATTATAGATAGGGCAAAATCGGAATTGTTGCAAAAAATATTTGTACATTAGCGAAAATACAAATCCCAAAAGATTAGGTGGCCGAAAACTTTTACTTGGTTATTTTGGGGAATAGTTTTTCTCTGTCATTTACAACCCCTGCTAAATATCATATCATAATTAGACATGAAAATATGATAATTAGGTATACTTCATTAAACACACACACAAACTCTCTCTCTCTCTCTCTCTCTCTCTCTCTCTCTCTCTCTCTGTTCCTTCAGGATATCGCAAATTATGATTCTCCACAATTACTAACCCTCTTTGTCTTTGCACCGTCGAGTATTTAACATCTTTCCAGTAATTTCCCTTGTCTTTTAATGTGCCCTGTGTTAAATTCTCCTTACCATCTTTCCTTACGGTGAGTTAAAGAATTTCAGTCATCTCTTTCTTATTACTAGTTTCTTTGTAGTTCCAATTCTGCTTAAAACTATATCTCATATAGTTTGTCTGTGGTATCCTCAACAATCGTCGGTATAACCAGATCTCTATCGCTTATCTACGATGAAATTCCCAAACATTCACTACGAATTTACAAAGTAACTTTTCTTAGTTTCTAATGACATTTTGCAATCCCCTAATGTTTTACCCATTTCCAGAAAAGTGCCCTTCACTATTTTTATACGCCTTTAAATTTTAATGTCATAATACTACTAGACTACCCAGATGGCTAAATTTCCACACTTGCTTAATTTGTTTTTTGTCCCTGAGACGACACTTGTAATTGTCCCTTTTGCTAATATTTATATATTCTGACAGTTAAAAAAATACAAAAAATATATCTCAGCCCTACGACGTGGAAAGGATATAAAAATCTGTTCCCTACCAAATCTAAGTTCTTGTGTCAAACACTAAAGGAATAGCAAAATACGCAATGCAAGTCAAGACTCAACGACAGCGTAAAATTTTAAAAGGAAAACATATTACACAAATATTGACATAAATGGTGCATGCACAAAGTTTGCACAAAAATTTCTTTTTGTGCGCCTATTAAGCAATCTTTTATTAAGTAATCTTTTATTAAGTAATCTTTTATTAAGTAATCTTTTTATCAGAAATTGTTATCCTATGATAACAATTTCTTTTAAAGATTAGCATCGAAAAATGGAAAAAAAATTATAGTTTTGGAAAAGATAATGATTTTGAAAAAGACACAAAGAGAAAACAATTGAAGACAGCAAAAAACAAAGGTGCAACCACCTTTGAGAAGAAACGGAAACGCCTACATTTACAAGTCACAAGAATGTCTCTGGGACAGATATGAATTTTCGAAAAGTCTCTTTTAAAATCATACTGTTCGTGCTTGAGAAAATTTCTTCAAATTCTTTTTCCTTCTTGGCTGTCCAACCGCAGGAAAATGTTCCCTTCAAAATTCTTTAGTCTCTCCGCAGCTGGTGCCTTCTAGATTCTCTTTTCGTGATATCAAAAGCCTTCTTGCGCCTGGATGTTGATCAGCTTTGTCCCGTTTCTGTCAAAATCTTCTCCTTCGCATTTACTGATCTATATATTTGAAAAAATAGGCTCCCCCATTCGTTTTGTTACTAGAGCTTGAGACAACGTCTCTGATTTGTTAGTGTATATGAAAAAATAATTTCCCATAAACTGGAAATGGATCCATCACAAATTTTGGCGGGTTTTAACCGCTAAGCCAAAAAAGATGTACAAGTGTAACAATTTTTTACGCAAACCGTCTGGTCTTAATAAAAATACACTTCTCTCAAAAGAACGTGTTCCAAAAAACAACCTAGACGATTAAATATTTATTTAATGCTAACATTTTTAAAATAGTAAAAATAAATATTTTATGAGGAGCCCCTAAAGTTATTACGTGGGTATATCTACCCAGGTATGTTTCTAGGTTACCTTGTGCTTGTTTACTGGGTCTGCAGGGAATGTCTGCAACATGACCCATACATGTCGAGTTTTACGATAGGTGATAGTGTTATCTTGCTAGAACAAACTGACACCCTCTTGAATACATGACAAGCATAGAAATATGCAAATGATCTACAACCTGTTAAGACAGATTCCAGTTTAACTGATAGCTCTTGCGGGCTTCAATAGAGATACCTGAAACCATTACAGAGACATACTCACCTACTGACAGGTTGTAGATAAAAGCCTCATGCTGTGCTCCTCCATACACGAATTCGGCCATCTGCTCAAAATAAGAGCTGAAAATATCATTCGTTTCACCAAGTTATACGGTGTCAGACTTCCATGGGCCAATGGCGATGTTCTCTGAGTCATATGAGAAGAAAAACGATTCTCCGGCATCAATAACGGTACTCTTGTTAGTAGGCAACAATGAAATCCTATGAAATGTAAATGTAGACCAAACAGAACATTGACTGTTAGGTTTAGTGGCACAAATGTTGAATTTGGGTGTAAATTAATGTAAATTTCATAATTACTATAATTGAATATAAATTGTCTGATATCGGCTTTCATAAGCCATTATTAAAGTTTTGGGGGAGGGGGATGTTAGTTTCATTCTTTTTAAAATATTACGTCTTCACACTTTATGTCAGAATGTTATAATAAAAACTAATGCTCTAATTCCATTAGCCACATCCTCAGCCTCCGCGCTACGATGCGAGAGTAAAATGTCTTCTTCTTCAGCGGTGTTGGAGTCTTTGGGCAGAACGAGGTACCATGTAAACAACAAAAAACGAAGCGAGTCTGGTACTGACTATCCCAACTTCAGACAGCACTTCCCCATTGCACAACAGAAGCGTTGTTACCTTAGTACCATTGATTTTGACTAATTATCCTTGTATGTGTGGAGCTCCATGTTTAACTATATGTGTCTCTGATGAGGCTGTGAAATATCAGTTGATAAAAACGTGGTCAACCAGAAAGTGATTATTTTTAATTCCACGTGATTTAAGTTTGGCACTCGGCCTTAATGTGAATCAGACGGAATTTTTCAATTTACAGGTGTTATATGCCATCCACAAAAATCTACTTAATGAAATAAAAGAAACTTTTTTCTTTATCTTGATTTCGAATTTATTTAATTGACTGCAATTGAACTCAGATGCATATCGATTTGGATAAAGATGCACAAAAAATGAAAATTAATATCTGCATCAAGTTTGGCGAAAAAATTAATAAAAAAAATTTGGAAATGAAAAACTTTTCTAAATTGAAATGAAAATATTTTGATGAGAGTTAAAGGAATCATATGCTATGAACATGCAAAGATGCAGTTGTTGAGAGAATCATGATCATCTAGATTTCCACTCAAAAGAGAACAGAAAATGATGAAATAACAAGTAAACTAATTTTTTAAAACTTTTCTCGTTAATTTTACAACAGAACTGCCATTAAGATCTGGAAATGCACTTTAAAAGGGACCTTAGTTACGCAATAAAATCCAGAAGGATGACTAAATTTTCAAGAGTCTGTGCGTATATATACAAATTTGCTGACAAATAATGAATTTAATAAAGAAATCACTGTCAATCCTCGTGTTTGTGTGTGTGTTATCTCTCGATAATCTCATACTATCAAATGACGTTATGAAACCGAGAGGGAAGAAGGATTATGCGTGTATTACTAGTGCCAAAACGAAAACAACGTGACCACATATTCCGACTAAATGTGAATAGTGTCAGAGTATAATTACCTGATCTCCAACATCAGCTTTATAAATCAGAGATAGATAGATAGATAGATAGATAGATAGCGTGAGTGAGTGAGTGAGTGAGTGAGTGAGTGAGAGAAAAAGAAAGAAACAGAGCGAGAAAGAAAGAAAGAAAGAAAGAAAGAAAGAGTCATAGGTATAAACTTATATATGTACACATATAAACCATGGTATTAATTTCTACATATCACACAGCACATGTATAAGTCTTCTAGAAACGAATGGATTTGATAGTTATTTTGGTCATTTCAATCTGTCATTGTCACTGATCAGTTTTTAAGCGTGTCCTCTATAACCCTGATCCCTAACTGATCGGCTTTGGCCAAATATACTAAAATTCATTTTCGATCTTTTGGTCAAAACGCCTTCATCATTTGACCTTCGATCATACAGTTCCCAACCTGACTCGTACCGTTGCAAGGGTTGCTTGTCTCTGCTTCTTTGTTTGATCGCGCTACTCGCAACATTTTGAACAGTATTAATACAGAGAGAACAGGCAGGCATTATTGTCGAATACTTGATTGAAGAGTTGGTTTCACTATACGTCGTAGGTTGGACAGATCGTTAGATGGATCGAGCGTATGATGAAAAACGCTTGAATAGATAAAAATGTTCAACAGAAAAAGTAACGTGCTTCTCTTCAGAGTATTTTTTTTAATTTTTTTTTTTGATAGATGATTCTGAGAAAACAGAAAAGAGATTTCGACAGTCGCTCATTATAAGAATACATCTCGATGTCTACCTATAAATGTATATCTATCTATCTATCTATCTATCTATCTATCTATCTATCTATCTATCAGTATTTATTCAGATAGATTATTTTTGTTGTACATTTTCCTGTGTGTCTCTAGATGCGCAAAAGATAGATTTTCCAATTCCGATTTTTAAGACAGACAATAAATCCCTCCACTTAGGAGATGCGTATACACAATACTTACTTAAAAATTTAAGTATTCAATGTATTCACTTATATATACAAGGCAGCGTGCTGAAATATCCTCGGAACGGTCAATTAGGGATTCTACTTCAATTATATATATATATATATATATATATATATATATATATATAATTATTTATTTAAAAAATATGATTCCAACGCTACATAGAGTTCTCATGTTTCAAAACAAGAGTTCGGCTCTTGTTTTGAAACATGAGAGCTCTTGTATGTAGCGTTGGAACTATATTTTTAAATAAATAATTATATTTATGCTCTACTTTTGTATCGAGCACTATTTTTTTAAAATAATAACAAAAATACTAAAGAACTTTGGATTATTTACCTAACGAGTTCTTTCCTATTTTCTATATATTTTTACATATATATATATATATATATATATATCAGGGATGTTCCGTCTAGGCTGGTAAGATAGGCAGTGCCTACCATGAATAAAATAGATCAGTGGCTACATTTTTCTTCTGTGTCACAATATGCACCTAATCCCCCAAAATTATGAAGGTTACTGTGATTATTATACATAAAATGCAAAATATTTTTTTTTTTTTTGTAGATTTACTGCATAAAGATCACAAGCTGCCTATGCTGACTAATTACTGGCGGCACGTGTCTGATATATATATATATATATATATATATATATATATATATATATAAAACAATTTATAAAAAAATTTATAAACAATTTTTATAAAAATATAATATGTAAAGAGACAGCAAGCTGCGATCATCCGAAATACTAGGATAATGAGAGAAATTACTAAGAGCCAAATTAGCCTCAAAGGAAAGTAAACGAAGAAAACACCCGTGGTTAAAAATATGCAAAGAATAATTAACAACTATAATAAAAAAAATATTAGTGAAATTAGTGTTACTGTTAATAATAAGAAAATAGTTTATAAGAACAGAATTAAAAGTAATTATGCCAAGAAGGAAAATTGTTTAACAAATAACATAGTTTACACGTACAGATGCCAACCAAAAAAAAAGCCTGCTTTATAGGCTTCATCAATCGCCTTCGCCTCTGCTGCTGTTTTGACCAACTTGAAAAAGGGACAAGCAGTGTTGCACGCCTGTCTTATTCTCCGCCATATGTTTCTTCTTTGTAAACAAACACTGAATATAGTGCAATCAACACCGACTCTGTATTCAGAAAATAAAGAGTGGTGTAATTGTTAACAAGCTTGTCTCGCTTGAACTATTACAACTGAGTAGTGAGTTCAATTCTCACTGGGTGCCCCATGCTTTCGGCCTTGTGCCACATCTAAGCTACGCTTGGAAAATCCCTATAAAGAGGGAACTGCGAAACTTTGTAGACAACTGATATATTCAAATTTTCCGAAATTTTACTCGCACTTTGCGCATTTTTATCAAACATTCACTCAATGCGTTTATTACAATAATTCAAGGGGCGGTCCAAGGTAAAAGAACAGAAAAGCGAACAAGAATTTAGTGAGAAATCTCAACAGTGGGTGATACTACTAAGTTAAAGCAACGATGCTAAATTTTATAGCTGATGGAAAATAATAGATTTTTTTTTATTTAATACAACGTGTGTATTTCATACTGAAGTTTACAGAGCAAGAAGAAAGGGAATAAACAGAAATTGGAAAGTGAACAAAAGAATTACAAATATTGGTCAATGGCAAGCACCAGGCTCCGTTGTTATACAATGGAAAGGGAAGAATAAGCACCAGGCTGTTGTTATACAATGGAAAGGGAAGAATAAGCACCAGGCTGTTGTTATACAATGGAAAGAAAAGAATAATCACCAGGCTCTGTTGTTATACAATGAAAAGGGAAGAATAAGCACCAGGCTCTGTTGTTATACAAAGGAAAGGGAAGAATAAGCACCAGGCTGTTGTTATACAATGGAAAGGGAAGAATAAGCACCAGGCTGTTGTTATACAATGGAAAGTGAAGAATAAGCACCAGGCTGTTGTTATACAATGGAAAGGGAAGAATAAGCACCAGGCTCTTGTTATACAATGGAAAGGGAAGAATAAGCACCAGGCTCTGTTGTTATACAATGGAAATGGAAGAATAAGCACCAGGCTCTGTTGTTATACAATGGAAAGGGAAGAATAAGCACCAGGCTCTGTTGTTATACAATGGAAAGGGAAGAATAAGCACCAGTCTGTTGTTATACAATGGAAAGGGAAGAATAAGCACCAGGCTCTGTTGTTAAACAATGGAAAGGGAAGAATAAGCACCAGGCTCTGTTGTTATACAATGGAAAGGGAAGAATAAGCACCAGGCTGTTGTTATACAATGGAAAGGAAGAATAAGCACCAGGCTGTTTTTATACAATGGAAAGGAAGAATAAGCACCAGGCTGTTGTTATACAATGGAAGGGAAGAATAAGCACCAGGCTCTGTTGTTATACAATGGAAAAGGGAAGAATAAGCATCAGGCTGTTGTTATACAATGGAAAGGGAAGAATAAGCACCAGGCTCTGTTGTTATACAATGGAAAGGGAAGAATAAGCACCAGGCTCTGTTGTTATACAATGGAAAGGGAAGAATAAGCACCAGGCTCTGTTGTTATACAATGGAAAAAGGAAGAATAAGCACCAGGCTCTGTTGTTATACAATGGAAAGGGAAGAATAAGCACCAGGCTGTTGTTATTGGAAAGGGAAGAATAAGCAAATGGAAAGGGAAGAATAAGCACCAGGCTCTGTTGTTATACAATGGAAAGGGAAGAATAAGCACCAGGCTCTGTTGTTATACAATGGAAAGGGAAGAATAAGCACCAGGATGTTTTTATACAATGGAAAGGGAACAATAAGCACCAGGCTGTTGTTATACAATGGAAAGGGAAGAATAAGCACCAGGCTGTTGTTATACAATGGAAAGAGAAGAATAAGCACCAGGCTCTGTTGTTATACAATGGAAAGGGAACAATAAGCACCAGGCTGTTGTTATACAATGGAAAGGGAACAATAAGCACCAGGCTGTTGTTATACAATGGAAAGGGAAGAATAAGCACCAGGCTCTGTTGTTATACAATGGAAAGGGAAGAATAAGCACCAGGCTGTTGTTATACAATGGAAAGGGAAGAATAAGCACCAGGCTGTTGTTATACAATGGAAAGGTAAGAATAAGCACCAGGCTCTGTTGTTATACAATGGAAAGGGAAGAATAAGCACCAGGCTCTGTTGTTATACAATGGAAAGGGAAGAATAAGCACCAGGATGTTGTTATACAATGGAAAGGGAAGAATAAGCACCAGGCTCTTGTTATACAAAGGAAAGGGAAGAATAAGCACCAGGCTGTTTGTTATACAATGGAAAGGGAAGAATAAGCACCAGGCTGTTGTTATACAATGGAAAGGGAAGAATAAGCACCAGGCTCTGTTGTTAAACAATGGAAAGGGAAGAATAAGCACCAGGCTGTTGTTATACAATGGAAAGGGAAGAATAAGCAATGGAACACTGGAAAGAAGAATAAGCACCAGGCTCTGTTGTTATACAATGGAAAGGGAAGAATAAGCACCAGGCTGTTGTTATACAATGGAAAGGGAAGAATAAGCACCAGGCTCTGTTGTTATACAATGGAAAGGGAAGAATAAGCACCAGGCTGTTGTTATACAATGGAAAGGGAAGAATAAGCACCAGGCTCTGTTGTTATACAATGGAAAGGGAAGAATAAGCACCAGGCTCTGTTGTTATACAATGGAAAGGGAAGAATAAGCACCAGGCTCTGTTGTTATACAATGGAAAGGGAAGAATAAGCACCAGGCTCTGTTGTTATACAATGGAAAGGGAAGAATAAGCACCAGGCTCTGTTGTTATACAATGGAAAGGGAAGAATAAGCACCAGGCTGTTGTTATACAATGGAAAGGGAAGAATAAGCACCAGGCTGTTGTTATACACTGGAAAGGGAACAATAAGCACCAGGCTGTTGTTATACAATGGAAAGGGAAGAATAAGCACCAGGCTCTGTTGTTATACAATGGAAAGGGAACAATAAGCACCAGGCTCTGTTGTTATACAATGGAAAGGAAATAATAAGCACCAGGCTCTGTTGTTATACAATGGAAAGGGAAGAATAAGCGCCAGGCTCTGTTGTTATACAAAGGAAAGGGAAGAATAAGCACCAGGCTGTTGTTATACAATGGAAAATGGGAAGAATAAGCACCAGGCTGTTGTTATACAATGGAAAGGGAAGAATAAGCACCAGGCTGTTGTTATACAATGGAAAGGGAAGAATAAGCACCAGGCTCTTGTTATACAATGGAAAGGGAAGAATAAGCACCATGGTTGTTAAAAATGGAAATGGAAGAATAAGCACCAGGCTCTGTTGTTATACAATGGAAAGGGAAGAATAAGCACCAGGCTCTGTTGTTATACAATGGAAAGGGAAGAATAAGCACCAGGCTGTTGTTATACAATGGAAAGGGAAGAATAAGCACCAGGCTCTGTTGTTATACAATGGAAAGGGAAGAATAAGCACCAGGCTCTGTTGTTATACAATGGAAAGGGAAGAATAAGCACCAGGCTCTGTTGTTATACAATGGAAAGGGAAGAATAAGCACCA